TAACAGTCACATCAGGGGAAGGGAATTCGGAGTTCCAATGGTGCTAGGGCAGGGAAACTCCTGCTATTGAGCAGTGGCAGCAATGGGAAGTGACCCTGGTGGAGATTTGTTGTAGACAATAGTAGTGACACTCAAACTGAATCCTACTTGTACTGAACAGAACAAAGCAATTATCAACTGCTTTGGAATATTTTACATCTTGAAATCCTATGATGGTGAGACAATCCAAAACAATTCAAGTCATAGTGCTAGAAGATGAGACTTCCAGGTTGGAAGACACTGAGGGCTATTTTTGTGTTAGGTTCGGCACACTTGAAATCACCAGCTACACAACATACACCTAGGCAAACAGCTAAGTGAGCCTTGACTGACAGGGTCAAAGGTTCAGATTGCTCCAGACTTGGAGGTGATTTCTCTTTCAAAGACTGGTGTCAGGAACCTGGTCTCAGAAACCCTGAGAGAATGTTTACTAAAAGCAATTGGGGCTGGTAAAATAAATAACTCATTGAAGTTTTTGTAATGCAGAAATACTTTAAATATACCTTGCAAAATTGAATGCTAATTCCATGGAGCTCCATGGCAAAATGTCTCCCTTTCTCAAGGACTGTCACTCCATTACTTTCTTTGAAGCAAGCCTGTTTTTTCCATTACTTTCTTTGAAGCAAGCCTGTTTGACCCAAACCTTTTAGCCCCACAGACTGGCTGGGGAAGGTGGGGCACCTCCCTGCACGTGCATACGTGTGCAAAGTAGTGTGCATGCTATCATGCGGGGTGCTCGTGCGCATGTGCAAAGGAGCAGGGGTGCTCATGTGGGCATGTGCACAATCGTATGTATGCTCAATGGGCGGTGCAGCTCTCGTGCGGGCGTGCTAACGCGCAGGTGCAAATGGGCTGTGCAGGGGGAGTGTGTGCAGGGTGGGTGCGGGAGATCTGTCTCCGAGCCCAGGTCTGATGCAGGCCCCAGCCCGGCCCATTGACTGGGGGTTGGGGACCTCTGCCGTAGAGCCAGCGTTTGTCTGTAGACGGTTTCTGTAGTCACGTGGCCAGTGCAACTAGACACGGAGCATCGTTACCTTCCCACCATGATGGTACCTATTTATCTACTCGCAATTTTTACATGCTTTAGAACTGCTAGGTTGGGAGGAGCAGGGACAAGCGACGGGAGCTCACTCCGTCACGTGGATTTGAACTGCTGGTCTTTCAACCTTGCAGCCCAGAAGCTTATATTGTACTCACCTGTAATTCTCCCTTAGGATGTGTCATCTGCCTGGCAAGTCTGTCACACAGGCTCAGTTTATAACAAAGTTATCCATTTTCCCTTTTGAAAGGTCTCTTCTGAGGATCAATATTTCAGCCTGGATTATTTCTAAATAAAAAAGATGGTGGGGAAGCGGAGAAAGGCTTTGGAGGGTTTGGAAAATAAGGACAAGAAGGGAAAACACAAGGCACCTGATACGGATCTAATCAACCTCCTAAAAAGAACCATGTATTTGATTTCTTTTATCTACACTAGTTCCACAGCAGGCTGGACTTCTGAAAACTGTATTGCTCTCTAACTCTTCTTCTCTAAAAATAGGTGACTCATAATCCAACACCTCCCAGAGACAGAGGAACATGAGTAGCGCCTAAAGGTGGGACATAACATGCACAATAAGAATATAGTTTATGACAAAACACCAGGACTTTTCGGTCAGGTTCAGTTACAACAGAGAACACCTCTTTGTGTTCGCTCAGTTTTTCCCCTACTTTTTCCAGCTATTTAGTTCAGTGTGTTAAAAATAGCATTTGTTCCCTTATTGCTTGTTTATTTCAATTATCATTAGCAGATAACCACATTCATTTGTAGCCACTGAAGATCAAGTAGCTGACATCAGGGTCTATTTCTGATAATACCAGTCCAGAGAATAACATGGCTGACAAATGTCCTTCCTGCAGGAAACACTCATTTATACCTGAATTTCTAGGCCAAACAAAGGCATGAAATTATACTCCAGAAATTATTTTAATTTTTTAAAAAAAATTTTAAAAATTTTAAAATTTTAAAGTAAGATAAGTTACTACATCTTTTCCTGTATTACTACAATAATTGCATGCTGCCAGTGTTGGAGTTTTATTCACTACCTCACATGTAATTTGAATGACTGGGAGGTTGTTTTCTGGGCTGGGGTGATTGTTTATCTGTCCAGTACTAAACAATTGTTCCTTCCAGCCTTTGAATTCAAAGACAGCTCCAGATCTCTGATAAGTGTTCTATCCCTACACAGTGGTGCCTTGCTTTACGATTGCCCCGCATTACGACGAAACCGCATTACGATAATCTTTTTGCGATCACAATTGGAATCGCAAAATGATGGTCTAAATGGGGGAATTTCATGAATGAAGGCCTGAGTGACAGCAGGAGAAAAGCCTTATGCAGAAACATTTTCACTCTTTGTTTTTTCCTACATGTTTTCTAAAGACATTCAGATTGAATGAGATATGGAAACTGTTTTTGGAACATTTAGTTTAACCTCCAGTTTCACTTGTTTTAAATACTGTAATTAGTTTAGTGACACTAAGCAACGGAAATTGCTCCTTTTTTCATCTGTTAACCTCCTCTCACTCAAACAAAAAGCAATTGTCAGGGCTGTTTTTCAAAAAGTGTGGATGGTAGTGAGCAGAAGAGGGTATTCTGTAGACCATCTTGACTGGTACTGTTGGTGGTGTCAATATTCATGCTTCCATTTCCTACGTAAAGGTTAGCATCCTTTTCCTGTTGCAGTGCGAGGGTTATATTGTGCAACAATATCAGGTCTTTTCCTGGAATTATAAATCATGGATACAGAAAAACAATAATGTATCCCATATTCATAAACAGAAGGTTTGTTTTTTTAAAGAACTGAATTTCCTGGCTTTTAAAATGGAAATATAATGCACTACATACAAATTCCAACGAACATTCCCTCATGCAGAATTAACTCTGTGCTAGAGGTTCTCAGAAGATGAGCACATGATCTGTACTATGGTTGCTGGGGGAGGATAGAAGCAAGGACTGGCTATCCATATCTACTGAAAAGCACTTAGAGCTGGTACAAACATAACTGCTCTATGCTTTTGTAATGCAGAAATACTTTGAATATACCGTAGAGAACTGTATGCCAATTTCCCAGAGATATGTGGCAAAATGTCTCCCTTCCTGGAAGACTGTCATTACTTTCTTTAAAGCAAACCAGTTTTTTTAAAACTCATTGTATAATAACTGTGGACCTTTGTTGACCTGCATTTCTCCCTTAGCATGTATCATCCGTTTGACAAGTCTGTGTCATACATGCTCAGTTATAACAAAGTCACTATTTTTCTCTTTTGAAAGGCCTCTTTGGAGGATCAATATTTCAGCCCAGGCAGCCTGGATTCTTTTTAAACCAGAGGTCGTCAACCCCCTGGACCAACGGCCAGGTGCCAGTCCGTGGCCTGAGCTGGACCAGACCACAGAGACAGACCTCCCACCCCCGCACACACTCCCCCCCCACAGCTGCTTTGTGCATATGTGCGCGTGTCAGCACCGGCATGAGTGCTCCCCCACCCCTTCATGCATGTGCCTGAGCGCCTGCATGAAGTAGTGGGCGTGCAAGCGTGTATGTGTGCAGGCACTTCTGCACATGCGTGAAGGGCTGGGGGAGCGCTCACGCCAGTGCTGGTGGGCACACGGGTGCTCTCCCCACTTTTTGCATGCACCTGAGAGCGTGCCAGTGCCTGCGTGCCCCCACGCAAGTGGGGGTTTGTTTGCCCCGCCTTCGTCAGGCTCAGCCGGTCCTCAGTTCCAAAAATATTGGGGACCGCTGTTTTAAACAACAAAAAAGTGTGTGGAGCCAACAATTCTCTTTCAAGGTAAACAAGATTGGTCATTCCAGTCTATTTCACCTGTTTTAAATCAGGGGACATTTAAGGCCACTTGTTTCACAATAATATAAACCAAAGAAAGAATTGCAATGATTGCAGTGTGGCTGCTGGCCAACCCATAAATCATATCACTACCACTGGCTTTATCAAAATGGATTTTTTTTACCCCACAAAATGCCAAAATGCAGACAGACGGAAATATAGCAGACACGTTTGGACATACCTGAAATGACCAAAACCTACATTGACCCCACATCTCCTTATGCCTCCTTTACCCACAAACCTTGGAGACACTGATTTCGACGAGGCTAATAACAATAGATACTCAGTGCTGTACTGAATGACTAAGACTCGAGAGACCTGGATTCGAATCCCCACACAGCCATGGAAACTCACTGGGGGGGAGTGGCAGCGGTAAACCCACGCTTTCGGTATCTCACTTACCTTGAAACCCTCATTAGGGCCGCTATAAGTCGGTTCCGACTTGATTCGGCGCATAACAACAACAATAAGAGTAGTGACAGTTGAGAAAAACCTCAGAAGCGCGCCCTCGGAGAAGAAATGCCTGGTGCTGAGGAGCCACAAGTGAGGCCTCCGCAAAGACGGAAGAGGCAAAGAACGCCCCCTTGGTAAAACATCCCGACGAGAGAGAGAGAGAAGGGAAGAAGGAAGGTCTTTGTGGCAAAGGGGGCCCCGGCCCGAGTGAGTCTCCCTGCGTCTCAGGGCCCCTTTCTAGACAACGCGGGGGGCGCGAGGCGATCCCCGGCACCTTCCGAGAAAGTCGCCCCGCCTTTGCTTTCCTCCGAGGGTGCAACCCGTAAAGTCCCTGCCAAAGTCACCCCGCTTTGTTGCCGCCTCGCGAGCGGCGGCCCCTCGTCTCCAAACACGCCGCAGCCGCGACCGGTCCAAGAATAACCCCCGACTCTGGCTACTCAGGCCGATCCTCGGACGAAAGTCTCAGGGGGCGGCTGGACAGCAAGCCGCCCGCCCCCCTTTCCCGCCGCCGCCGCCGGCCGAGGAGTCCGCAGCCGATTCCCCTCCAACCCCACCCGCCAGGGGTGACCGAGAAGGCGACCCCGCTCCGCGAACTTGCTCCGAAACTCTGGTGCCGCGCCACTCACCCCGAGACGGCAGCAGCGACAGGACCCCCAGAAAGGTGCCCAGGCGGCGGAGGAGGAGGGGGGCGAAGGCCATCGTCGACGTCTTTCCCCAGACAAGACCGGGGGGAGGGGGAGAAAAAGTGGTGGCCGCCGCTGCCTTGGTCCCCGGCTCCGCGTCTTCGGAAAGGGGTGGCTCCCCTTGCCCGTCAGCGAAGAGGCAGCGCCCCGCCCCGCCTCGCCTCCCGCGCCCTCCCCTCGTAGCCGAGGACGCCGAAGGAAAAACCGCGGGCTGGGAGTTCCGTGCTGCGGCAGCCTGCGGTTCCCTTCTCCGCCTCAGGGCTGGCGGTGCCCGTTGCAAGGCGCCCCTCGAGGCGGCCGAGGAGGGCCAGAAGGCCGAGGGAGCGCCCCCTCAGGGCAATGGGCTTCCACATTAGGGACTTCCGAACCGTCCGACCCTGCTCAGCATTTCCATATCCTGGACTCCTTTATGGAATCAATCCATCGCCTGTTTGGCCTTCCTCTTTTCCTCTTGTTTTTTATTTTTCCCCCCTAGGATTATTGTTTCTTCCCACGAGTTTTATCTTCTGAGGATCTCTCCAAAAAATCTAAGAACTTTGCTTTTCACTTTTTTTGCTTCTATCCAGAGGCAAATTTCTTGATGGTCCACATTAAATATAGGCGCTTTTTTTCTGTACCGTTATTTTTGTCTTCTGAATGAATGTTCAGCTGCAGCTTTTCTTTTGCACTTCTTTTAGCTTCACCAGACCTTGTTTCAAGTTGTCTCTGCTTTCTACCAGTAGGATGGGGTAATCTGCATATCCGCTAATTTTCATTCATCTTTCATCTAGTCCATTTTTTGTAAGATTTGTTCTCTGTGCAGATTGCACAGAAAAGAATAAAAAATTGTCTGACTCCAATACCTGTGGAAAATCAGTGTTTGTTCATATTCTAACACTAGCTTCTTGTCCAGAGTAAACATTTTGCACCAGGACAACCAAGTGTTGAGGCACACCCATTTTATTTAGAACAGTCCATAGATTTTCATAATTCACACAGTTAAGTTTTTCTGAATCTATCAAACAAAAATTATTTTATTCTATAATTTTTGTACACTCCAGAAGCCAACATATACTTGCAATACAATCTCTAATGTCTCTTCCTTTTCAGAATCCAGCCCGAACACCTGTCATTTCTTAGAAATGACAGTAAAAGTCTTTGTTGTAACACCTTGAACATAACTTTGCTTGCATGGGAAATAAACATGATGGTCCTATTGCTACTATATTCTGTGGTGTATATACTGCGGAGTATATTATGAATATTACCAGTCTGTGGGTTGTTTTATTCTCCATATTTGTTTCCATATTCTTTGTAGAATTTGAACAGATTCATTCCCTGTAGCTTGAAATCATTGTATTAAAGCACTTTGAGAGCAGCTTTCACTTTTTTTTCTAAAACTTCACATTATTCTTGGAAATAATCTGTCATCCTTGCATCTCTTCATTATATTGTTTTCACCCTCTCTTTATTTTATCCTACTCACATAGTATTCCTTTGTTGATCTTTCAGCTCTGCTAATGTAGTTAATAAATTTCTATTTCATTTCTTAGATCCTGTGGGAGGGATCTCTCATTTTTCCTCTATGCCTATTGTCTTCTATTTCTTTTAAGTGACTAACGTAATAGTTCTGTTTGCCTCCACATAATAGCTGAAAATTAGAATAGATCCATTGAGTCAGTTGTTGCTGATTCAATTGTTATGTAAGTTGAAGATCCATCAGTTCAAGAAGTCTACTGTAGTTGGGTTAATGTTTGGATTCCCATCTGAAGTGCAGCAAACCATGTGAATGTGAGGTTTCTATTCACAGTCGCCCAGAGTAGTCAGTTGACTAGATGGGTGGAGTATAAATAAATAAATAGATAAATAAANNNNTACCCAGCTCAGCCTCAAATTGTGAGATACCTGCTTGCTCCAATAATAGTGCAATAGTCTCTCTGCTTTTGTTTATTTCAGCCCCTCCTTTCTCCTCCACATAAAGAAGTGGTCAAAGTGTTGCCTTTCACATGTTGTTCTATTTCAGCTCCCACCCATCCTCACAACTGACAGTGCCAACAAAGGCAGACAGAAGGTGGAGCCCATTAACAGCTGGGGATGGTGCATTTTGTCCACCCCTGATGTAGGGAGAGGCTCTAAACTCATCCACAGTTTTGTTGGTTCAGAGCTTTGAATCAGATGATTTGGTTGTCTTGGTTTTAAACATTGTGGTCTCCCAGTTCACTAACGTGTGTACTTTTCTCTAGGCAATCTGTTTGTTTAGAAGGGCTGGTCCTGCTGACTTCCAAACAGGCCATAAATGGTAGAAATTGTACCTTCACTCTAAACTGACAGACACTCAACCACCTGAGATCCCTCTAACAAGAGAATGGTGATAAGGATGTTTGCTGCAGACTATTCCACAGATCTCACTTTTTAACCACCTTCTCTTTGCAGTGTTTGTCTGCTGCACCTAATCACACATAAAACCAGAGCATAGGCACAACATAGATATGTGATGGAAACCAGGTGCAATAACATATTGGAGCTGTTCTTCCATATCTTCAGTTAATTGTCTTCTTTTAACTTCTTCCATACTGCGGTCTCCTAATACAAGAGTTCATATGGATCAAAATCTAGTTGTCTGAGGAAGTGGCTTTTGTTCCATAAAAGCTCACACTGAAACAAATCTGGTAGTCTTTAAGGTGTCACAATATTTTGTCCTTTGCATTTTTTCTACTCCCTTCTTTCCCCCCTCCCTCTTTCCATTTTTCCATAATTCAGTACAAGAAAGGGAACTGAGCACTGCCATTGAATATCCCATTAAGTGCCCTTAAGCCCAGTGCAACCAGTGGGGCTGTGCTTAACATTGGTTGAGGTTTCTATCGAAGGGCTCAGAGTTAATATTATACCTAATAAAAGTGAGCATAAAAAAGTAATCAGTAGACCCACTTACAGTAGCACCTCGACTTACGAATTTAATCTGTATTGGAATGGCGTTCGCACGTCAAAAAGTTCATAAGCTGAGGCAAACTTTTCCATGGGAATGCACTGAAAACCATTTAATCCTTTCAGGCTGTTTTTTGTTGGTATGTCAAGGCGCTGCTCGTAGGTACAGGCATTAGTTCCCATAGGAACTAATGCAAAGCTGGTTAATCTGTACTCTCTCACTAGGGGTGAATTTTTATTTTTATTTTTTCTTCTTTTCACCAAAAATGAACTTGGGTTAAAAAAAAGGGCAGGAATTTTTTTTTTCGTTCATAAGTCGAGGCTCCGTTCACAAGTCAAAGCAATTTTTTGTGAACGGAGCCATTCATAACTTGAATGTTTGCAAGTGGAGACGTTCGTAAGTCAAGGTACCACTGTATTTAGGACCAAGTAAGTCTAAGAGAATTTAGTCATCCCTACTTCCAAGTAGACCTGTCCAAATTCTGTTGTTAATGTCATGAATTTAAATTGGCAGATATTTGCCAAGTGCCTTGCCTTTATCTGATGTCCTTGCTGTCCATTTCCTAAATTAGCACATTCTCTTAGCTTTGCACTTAAAGAAAGAAACAATCCAATGTGAATGTATTGCTCAGAACATTCTGACCTGATTGAAGAACTGGAGCCACGGTATGGCATTAGTCCAACAGGGTGTAACGATTATGGGCATTATGGGCATGACCTTGTTGAAATTAGAAGTCAGTTCTACTGAATCACTCAGTTATTGAATCATTCAGTGAGATCCAGGTGAGCTAAGGAAATATGGGCACAATCCTATATATGCTTAATTAAGGCCTACTGTGTTCAAGTAGGATTACAATTTAGCAAGTATAATTTAGAATCCACTTCGTTGGTGGAACCTTCTTTAATTTCATTGATGCTTAAAATACCATGGCCCACTTGCCCAAATTTAGAAAGATGAACAGGTGACGCTACTAGACAGGGTTATTGTGGGTTTTCAGGTTCTTTGGCCGTGTTCTGAAGGTTGTTCTTCCTAATGTTTCACCAGTCTCCGTGGCCGGCATCTTCAGAGGAACAGGAGTAGCACTCTGTGCTCTGGTGCAGTTTGCTTGGGAGTTGAGTATTTCTCTACTAGACAGACTCTGCCCCGCTAAGTACTGACTGGCAACAACTCAAGAGTTCTCAGTACTGAGATCATTCGTTGAACAGAGATTATTAAAGCAGCAAATGTCCACCTACAAAACATGTGGTGTACAACTGAAGTACAGGTGTCTTCCCCCAAATGAATGTAATTAATTTCTATATTATACTGATTTTGGTTAAACAAATGAGAACTTATTGTAGTTAGAAATACAGGACAGACCTAGACTAAAAATAAATACTCTGGTGAAAGTCCTTTTGTCATAAAGCACAAGCTTAGTGCTGTTAATTACTTAATTGACACGTCTGAAAGAAACAGATGGGAAGGTGAAGGCAGTGGCCCCTCTCCTTTGGAACAACTTACCTGTAGAGATCTCCTGGCTCCCTCGCTGAGGGCCTTCAAGACTAACCTGAAGACATGGCTATACAGGCAGGCCTTCCCTACAACCATTACCTAACCTTTTTTCCCCTTTTCTTTTCTCCCTCCTCCTTCTCCTCCTTCTTTTTCTTATTTTCTCTTTCCCATCTTGGATTAATTTGGATTTTATTTTAATATTATATATAAAGCGCCCGGAGTAGACATGTTCTATATTGGCAGTATTAAAATCTAATAAATAAATAAAATTTTAAGGTAAGGCATGCAGAAATTACTTCATCTCTGGTCACATATGGCTTAAACTATTAGGATGATAAACTGTGGCCAAATATGAGGTAATACCTGCATACATTACTTGAAAGTACGAGAAAAGAGTGGGAAAGGGAAAGTGGTGATCCTTGCTATGGAATAATAATGACATGCAAATTATGATGCATTTTGCAGAATTACTGTTCAGACTGTTGATGTTTTGTACGCTTACACTATTAAGTACTTTTCCATTTTATTTTTCTAGAGAAACGTTTTTGAGAAATATGGTAGCTTGAAGCTTTAAATTAGAATGCTCTTCACATCAAACCATAAAACATTCTGCAGAGGTGAGACCAGAGGAAGGAAAAAAGAAGGGGAGCTGTGGGCTGGATGTGACTCACATTACACCCAATCTGAATGGTGAACTCCCGAATCAACCCATAGTCCTCGTGTGAGCACTAATTGCGATTTCAACTGAACCCTGAGTCTGGATCCAGACCAGAGTAAAGGAAACATAGAAAACAATATTATTAGTGTCAGACAATGAGTCCATCCTGCCCAGTATGATGAATTGTGGTCACTAGCCGCTTTTGATTCT